CAAAGATGTTCATGTCCTAATTATAAGAACCTTTGTATTTATTATCTTACAGGGTAAAATGAACTTTGCTTAAATGAAAGCGTTTGAGATGACTATATTATCCTGGATTATCTGGGTGGGTGCAGTATAATCACAGAGATCCTCACAAGAGTCTGAGAAGGTGATAAAAACAAAAATCAGAACAATGTGGTGAAGAGCCTAGGAATGAAGGTAGCTTCTAGAAACTAGAAAAGGGAAGGAAATAGATTCTTTCCTACAGCTTCCAGAACAAAATGTCACCTTGATTTTTAGCCCAGTAAAACCAACTTCAGATTGCTGGCCTCCAAAACTGAAACATAATAAATATGTGTTCTTCATGTTTCCTTAAGCTCATACATTAGTGATTGATGTGTGTGTGTGTGTGTGTGTGTGTGTGTGTGTGTGTGTGTGGCATTTACAGCAGCACTAGGAGAGTAATGCATTGCCCAAGGCCATGGAGCTACAAAATAAAAACAAGGCCAGGATTAAAATCGAGGTAATCTGGTGCCAGTGCCAGAGATTTAAGCACTGCACCACAGCGCCTCTCACAGGCAGAATGAAATTTTAAGTGAAAAGAAAACTGAGGGGTTCCCTTCCATCTTCCTCTTGTGCTCAGAGTTCCACTGCTAGAAAATTTGTAAAAAGACAATATATATATATATCAGGGTTTGGTGGTTCATGCCTGTAATCCCAGCAATTCTGGAGACTGAGGCATAAAGATCACAAGTTTAAGGCCAGCTTTGGGAATTTAGGGAGACCCAATCTCTAAATAAACAAACAAACAAATAAATAAGTAGGCTGGGGATGTAGCTCAGTGGTAAACCACCCTTGGGTTTAATCCCCAGTGCCAAAAAATACAAAAGAAAAAGAACAACAACAACAAAAAAAGGCGACTTTTACAAATTCCCCTCACAGCTTCACATCTTCAGTCCTGGAGTGAAGACATCAGTAATATGATTGTCTTATTTTAGAGATGAGGACTTTGAAAATGAAAGGGCTGGTGATACTGAAGTTACATGGCAGGATGGTGAAACAATCAACTAGTTACACAGGGAGCTCTGGTGGTGTGGGGGAGGGAGGTTCATTTATCTCAGTACTGTTTGAAACTAGAAGAAGGAGACTGTGTGGCAAATGAAGAACAGGACCCAGGCTTCCCGATGCTTGTATTTATCATTATTAGCTCAGGACGGTTGGGCACAGAATATTACACACTCATCAGTGTAATAACTCTACAAGGATCAAAAATTCTCACTGTAGCCATCTGGTGATTTTTATATTCCCAAGTTTTAGCCATTTTTATACTCTAGTTGCCACCCCAGCTCTCTAACACAGCATCTAGGACACAGTGGATGCTTATAAATATTGATGAATTAAACTGAACATTTATGATCACATACTTGGACCAGTGCTTTTCAAATGTTAAGGCACATCGAATTTCCTGGAATCTTCATTAACATTCAGATTCAGAGTTAGAAGGTCTGGGTCAGGCTTGAGATTGGACATTTCTACGGAGTTTCCATATAGTGCTGGTACTGTTGATCTGTGGTTTATATTTTTCTAGATTTCAAAAAATGAGACCTCCCTATTCGTACACAAAATACAATTCACACAAAGTGTGGTCATTTCGTGAAAGTTTACAAAGATGGCACAGAAATAGTTTTTCCCTCTTTTAGGCACCTAGAGCTCCCAATAAAAGGAACAAATTAGATGCTAGGGTACAATGGAAAGATCTTAACAGTGCCCCAACCCCCTGCTCCAGGAGCTCCATTCCGGTCTTCTGGAGGCAAGGTAAAGGGACGAAAGGAAGTGTCCAGGAGCTCGCAAATGCTAATATTCTTCCATTAACTGCTTCAAGGGGGGTATTTGCTTCTTTGAACCTCTGAGGTCCTAGGCAGACACTTGGAATCACAATGCCGCGCCCCCCTCTGAGCCCAAGCGGAGGAGGCGGACGTGCTTGCGTGTGCACTCAGTATAAATAAGTCCCAGGAGGCGGCCACTGGGCACAACCGACAGCGGACCGCACGGGCCATGGCTGGCGAAGACAACCAGTGGCAGGGCAGCATCCTCTACAACATGCTTATGAGCGCGAAGCAACCTCAGGCGCCTCCTGAGGTGCCCAAGGCGCGGCTCGGGGTTCCGTGCTGGGGCTGCTCCTGCGGTGCTGATCTCAGGGTTGACCGAAAGGAACTGCCAGGCGGGCGGGCCACCTCGCTCCTGTACCGCTGCTGCTTTTGTAGGGAAGAGCACCCAAGGCAGGGCAGTATCCTCTACAACATGCTCACCAGCGCAAAGCAGACCCAAGCGGCTCCCGAGGCGCCCAAAGCGCGGCTGGGAGTTCCGTGCTGGGGCTGCTCATGCGGTTCTGAGTCCCGGGTGGGCAGAGAGGGGCTCCCAGGCGGACAGGTCATTTCGCTCCTGTACCGCTGCTGCTTTTGTGGGGAAGAGCACCCAAGGCAGGGCAGCATCTTATACAGCTTGCTCACTAATGCAAAGCAAACGCCTGTGGCTCCGGAGGCGTCCGAGGCACAGCCGGGAGGCTCGGGGTGGGAGTTCTCCTCCAGCGCTCAGAGGCTGAGAGATGGAGAAGGGCTGCCTGGCGGACGGGACCCAGCGCTCCAGTACCACAACTACTTTTGTGGTGAAGACCAGCTGCAGCAGCTGCAGGAGGAGCGGCAGGAACAGCAACAGCAGCAGAGCATCATCCCGTACAGCATGCTTACGAGCACGAATCAAACCCCGGAGGCTCCCGAGGCGCGGCCAGCGGCCTCTTGGGTCACCTGGTGTGGCGCGCAGCAGCCGGTGGCCCTAAAGAATCCACAGGTGGTCTGTGAGGCAGCCGCAGCTGGCCTGTTGAAGACGCTACGCTTCGTTAAGTATTTGCCCTGCTTCCAGGTGCTAGTTCTTGAACAGCAGCTAGTGCTGTTGCGAGGTTGTTGGGCGTCTCTACTCATGCTCGAGCTCGCCCAGGATCGCTTGTACTTCGAGACGGCGGAGACTTCAGAGCCCAGCAGGCTGCAGAGGAGCCTCACCACCAGGCGGCGGGAGACCGAGGGCTTCGAGCCACTACTTCTGTCCACATCGCAGCCAAATTTGGCACCGCTGTCAGAAGCTGAGCAGTTGCCCTGGGTTACCACTGTTCGGGCCATCAAGACCTTCCTTGCCAAGTGCTGGAGTCTGGATATCAGTACCAAAGAGTATGCCTACCTCAAGGGGATCATGCTCTTTAACCCAGGTAAGGTCGCCAGCCTGGACTTTCCCAGCTCAAAAGCTTTAGAAAGTACCTTCCCCAGGGCACGGGAACTAAAAGAGTTTTTAGTGGGGAGCAGGGAGGGGCAGGGCTGTCGGAGCACCGGAGGAAGAATCACGTTTCGGTAGAGTCATGGTGGGGGGGCTCTGGGAATCATTCCTAGTAGGTAAGCTGCTGCCAAAAGGAGAGGAGAGGTTCCTACTTGGTTCTTTACGTGTTCCCATTACTACAGGTAAGTTCTACCTTCACAGGACATGACTTTCTTCTTAGCTTTAAAAGTTTTTGCTCACTGCAAGTCATGCAACATCTTTCTCTAAATCCCCATTTTGAAATTTTACTAGAGCCATTTAGTTTGTGGAAATCTATTAAGTCTAGATTAAGTCTTTGGGAATATTGTCAGAATAGCAAACTTAGTGCTACCTCTGAACGGTCATTTGTATGGTCCAAAAGCATCTAGACCCTCCCATTCTCCATGTCTCTTAATATCAGTTTGGCAAAGTTGCAGGAAAATGATGCAGTGTGTGTGTGTGTGTATGGGGGGGGTGATGCTTCTTTTACATCCCACCCCAATCCTTGAGCTGGGAGTCTCTAAATCTAGCATTTTTAAATGCTAGCAGTATTTGGGATTATTAGCATTTCATGACTTCAGTTCATTTCGGTGACTATTATAGGTCACACTTTTGCTCATGTTGTTTTTCCAAATTGGCCTGTGCATTAGAAGCACTTGTGTTTGTATGGGGGTGGTGCTTAAAAGTCCTTCCAGGCTCCTCCCCTAGAAATTCTGAGTAGATCTGCATTCATAATAAGTGCCCCAGGTAATTCTTGAGGTCATTTGGAAAGGAGTTTTCTCATTCCTATTTTTTTTTTGAGATAAACAGTGAGACTGGGGTTCAGCTTCCATAATTTTACATTCTGATAGCTTCCCTCTTTTGTCACACACCCCCCCTCCTCTTCCTTATTATTACTCTACCTCCCACTTTTACCCACAAAGCACTCAGGTGAGTTTAACCAGCTAAACCTGAGTGTGTTAAAACACAAATGCACCTACATTTGGACAGAAGGTAGTGCCTATTAAATGTGTGACTTTTTTTAATGTTTAGCCTTTCATATCCCCTTAGCTTTGTTTAAACCTACATGATATATAGTATAAATCATAGTATAATTTATAGTATAAATTATAATATTGTAATTTATTATGCTAAACACTTGTTTATATATTATAAAGTCACATGAATTCTATATAATTATAGGTAATTAAAACATATAAGCCCAACATGTAAACATATATACATGGGTTTAAACATGGTAACAAATAAAAGATAGTTGTGGACTCCATCTGCCTTTTCTCTTTCCTGACTTTGTATTTTTTCCTGCTTTCTCTTCCTCCTCATTTTTTGAAAAAGCTTTTCAGAGGAGACGATGTGGTATAAAAGACAGAGAAAACTAATGTGGAGCTCAAAAAATGCAGTTTTCAGATGGCATGAATGGAATTCACACACTATAAAATAGAGCCTCAAGCCTGGGTATTGAGCTATAGATAGTAAGGGATGTTAATATGTGGATTGGGGTTATCAGAATGGGAACATAGACCAGAAGTGTTGCTTTATTTTCTTATTTTATCAGATTTTAGATTTGCTTATAACAAGTAACTCTTTTCAATCATTGTTATTTAAAATTTTTTTCATATATATTTTTAGTGGTTGTTGGGCCTTTATTTTTTTATTCATTTGTTTATGTGCAGTGCTGAGAATTAAACCCAGTGCCCCACACATACTTTTTCTGAAGTTACTTTTCTAGTTTCTTTTAGTACATTTTAATTATAAAGAATAATGACACATTTGTACATACATATAACAAACTTTGAGTTACTTTTGATCCATGTTGCAATCTATGTTTTCATGTTTACTTTTTAACAAGAGAATGCTTTCAAAAACCTTACTTCTAAGATTTTTGTAAGAATCTTGAGAGCACTCATTAGAACCACATTTTTTAAACTTTCCTCAATACAGAAATCATGGTATAGTTAAGTGTTCAGCATTAACTTTCAAATTATATGGGCCTCTAGAATAATGCCCTGTAGGCAAATAATTAGGCAAATAATTAAAGTGAAACATGAATCATTTGTGGCTGTGAAGTTGGCCACTATTGGCTAGATGATGAGTATAATGGCAGGAAATTTTGAGGAAGAATGGCAAAATATTTGTCATCTGGCAAAACTTTCCATATAATGACCTGTTTCTCATAGGTAAAAGTTTGTATACAAAAGTAAATTGGAGCAATGATTAACTGAGATTTTTCTCCCTCCAGTCCTGCCAGGCCTGCAGTGCGTGAAGTACATAGAGGGACTTCAGTGGGGAACTCAGCAGATCCTCAGTGACCACGTCAAGATGACGAACCAAGGGTATCAGAACAGGTTCACAGAATTGAATAACACCCTTTTCCTGCTGAAATTCATCGATGCCAATGTCATTGCTGAATTGTTCTTCAGACCCATCATTGGCACAGTCAGCATGGATGATATGATTTTGGAAATGCTGTGTGCAAAGTTATAAAGGCATAAATATGGGGCCTCATGAGTGCAGCTCACCATGAAGGAAGGATGAAGAGCTTTAGGCAGAAGAATGTCAATGTTGTGAATATGAACTTTCTTGTTATTTTTACATTAATAGTATTTTTATATTCAATTGAATAAATAATTTAGATACAGAGAATGGAAAAAACACTGTTTTCCGTACTGCTTCATTTGAAAGAAAACATTTGCCAATAGGTAACATACTTCTATACATCTTTAAGAAAAGAGCAGGGTACTATGCTAATAATTTTTTTTCACAAATTTAGCCACTCTCTTTGAACTCACTAAAGTCAAATTTGTAATGTTGTTTTAATGAAAATTAAGGTGTTATGTTTTAATAAATTTTAAGGTATTAACCATTAACTCGACTAAGAATTTTTATTGGGGATTTAAGTAACTTCAAAATTTATTAAAACCTAGAAAACATAAGCAACATTTTTTCTTATAAGTAATTTGTGACATTTAATGTTATAGCACTTATTTTCATTTCCATAAGCTGTGTAGAAGACTTACTTTGCACCCTGCTGGAACCAAGAGGTGGATGATCTATGATCAGAAAGTCAGCTGAAAGTGAGAGATTTTCAAAGTTGCATTTTGGCAGTTTTCTGTACACAATTATGTATTTGAACTAAAGCTCCACAAAAAAACTTACATTCTATAATGAGAGGTTATAGCTGCAGAAAGTTTATACATATGTTGTTTTGGTAACTGTCACATTGAACTAGCATGGCATGAAATTATGAAGTGACTTTATTCTTGCCTCCTACAACTTCTTTAAATATAACCCATAGAACTAGTTTTTCCTTGTCCGTAGATAAAATTGAGGGCCCATCCATGTCCATTAATTTATAGGTAATGGAATAACCCTTGTAAGGAGTCTTAAACATTTCTTTTGTGATAATATGTGCTTATTTACATAACACATCAACCTTAATTTCAAAGCAGTGATCAATGTAATTGAAATTTCAAGATAACAGCTTCATAAATAGCAACATCAATAATATTAAAGAATATATGAGATTTCTAATGTTGATTTTTAGGAGATACCAAGACCACCTCTCACTTGGGGATATGCTAAGTCTCATGAAACAGCATATAGTTGTATTCAGGGCCAAGAATTACTACATGGGATAAAGCCAGATTGTAAAAGAAAAGGACACAGGCAGAATCTGAAGGAAACCACATGCTGGTTTCCTTGTGCTTTCTCCTTCAGTGTAAATTATGTTTGCACAAATAGCCTAGGGACAGTGAGTCACCTTCATGACTTAGAGAAGGCTGTGAACACTTCCTAACTGAAGTTCTTATCAGCCCAGGGCCAAACTTGCAAGCAGGCCATTCTAAGGACAGCAGTCTGACTTGCTAAGTTAACTTTTTTTCTACACAATCTACACTTTGACCGGTGGCCAATATGTCTTATTATCAGTAGGACCCCACACAGCAGGGTGAGACCCAACTTAGCACTATCAGCACTATGTATCTCACTTATGCCCTTTAGGAGACCTGGATTTAGTCTGTTTAAACAAATCCCATTAATTACGAAGGACCCTCAGGCAGCCTTTGTTTGTTCCTTAGGAATATTTTTTTACCTGGCCACAGCACAGCTCTGGCCTCAGTTGAAGCTGACCCGAATACCTTCCAGGGCTGAGGTGGTATTGTGATAGGGCACCTTCACAAGAAGTACAGTCCTGAGGGCTCATGCAGAGCCCTGGAAACAAAGCACTGATGATATAAGTTGGCCAGGCCACCCCACTTGTGGCCTACAACTGTGGTGCCTATCATCCCAGAATGCTCAGTCCACTGTGATTAATTCTGGTCCGTGTTTGTTTCTAGACAGAATGTCTGAGGTTGTCAGTCCCCAACCATTCTTTCAGGGACACTTCTTCATCTGTCTAGTGTGTATGGAGAGAGTTCTGTGAGGACATGTAGGAGCCCACCCATCCCTGCCTTCTCATGTCTTCTAGGCTCAGCAGTCTGAATCCAAATTGTTGACAGCAGCTTGCAAAGGCAGCATGAGAGAATTTTTCTTTAGAAAGAAGGGGAAACTTCCAGAAATTTTTCCTAAAAAAAAAAAAAATTAAAGCCCCACTTTCCTTTCTCTCAGCCTCCCTCTATGCCAGGTTTTTTTCCTCCCCTTGATTGTTATAATTTCAATATGTCTCATTTAGTAATCCTAACTTTAAACTTTTTCTCAATTCATTCTTCTTTTTAACCCAGACTTTTTGTCTAAAAGGATTCTAAGGGGACAAAAGCATTTTCCACCAAATAGCATTTAAATACAATTTAAGCAGTAAAAGACTCATCATGCTCAGGAAATTGTCAGGGTGAATTCCTGGTATCTTGATATATATATATATATTTTTTTTTCATAATGGGCTTACATATCCCCTCTTCATGCCTTTTGTCTTGATTGTGTGTGTATCCAGTGAACAACCTAAAAAAGATTAATTCTTTTCTGGGAACATCTGAATCAAATGATCAAAGGTACATACAGAATGTTGAAAGGTGAGGGAAGTAGAGTCAGGACTGATGGCCCATATAAAAATATACACAACAGACCCAAAAGCCATTAGCCCCTAAGGGGTAGAAATCTCATTTTATAAGAACTCATTAGCAAAAACAAACAGAATGCCACACAAACTCACTTTTTAAAACTCCAAAAGTATATCTCCATCTGGAGATTGGCTCTCTTTTTCCACAGTTTCCAATAGAAAAAATTATAGGGGAAAAAAATCATCAGTTACAGAGTCTTGTTTCCAAAACCAAGAGTTTCAATTCTAAAACATCCACCTGAGGCAAAAACCAAGGGAGTAGTGTCCCATGAACATATAATTTTTTGCAGCTTTTTTCATAAATACTCCTCTAGTATTTATGAAATTATAAGCCTATAACACTTTTCATCAAATTGTATCGTGTATCCAGATGTAATAACCACAAATGCAAAGCTGTCATTTAAAATTCCCTTTCTTCATTCATTATAAGTAGGCTCAAATTCCTAGCAGTACATTTACCATTTACAGGGTTCACATTCTGGTTACCAGGAGAACCCAACTGGGATGAAAGAGAGGGGAGCTGAGGCAACAGTAGGCTGAAGAAAGGGCTACAATGTTTTTATTTCCTTTATTCCTCTGCTTTACCTAATATCTTGCTTCAACTGTGGGAAAAGATTTAACTTTTTTCTTTCCTCCTTCATGGAGGAAAGAGCAATTATAAACTAAAACTTGGCTCATTCATAGCCCATTGTACAGAATGTTTGGGCCCTTTCTCCTTCTTCCAGTGTACCCATATCCCCTCCAAACAACAGAAAAGAACAAAATCAAAGCATAACCTGGGTTGCACTGTTCTTGCCCTCCCATTGAAATTTAGCAGAGTTTATTCTACATGGCCAAAAACATCTGAGAGATCTGGAGAGCCAACTCTCTTGGGGATGGGTCTAATCTTTTCAAATATGCCTGCATGAGTGTTCCTTTTCCCCCACATCCTTGCCAACATGTATTGTTGTCTATATTCTTGATAACTACCATTCTGACTGGTGTGAGATGAAATTGTAGAGTAGTTTTGATTTGCATTTCTCTATTTACTAGAAATGTTGAACATTTTTTATATGTTTGTTGATTGAATGTATATCTTCTTCTGAAGTGTCTGTTCAGCTCCTTAGCCCATTTACTGATTGGTTTGTTTGTTTTTTTGGTGTCAAGTTTTTTTATAAATCCTGGAGATTAGTGCTCTCTCTGACGTATGTGTGGCAACAATTTGCTCCCCAAATTTAGGCTCTCTCTCTACCTCATTAATTCTTTTGCTGATAAGAAGCTCTTTAGTTTGAATCCATCCTATTTATTAATTCTTGATTTTATTTCTTGCACTATAGGACTCACTGATAAGTGGATGCTGATCCATAATGGGGGAGGGTCATGGGAAAAATGGAGGAACTTTGATTGGGCAAAGGGGAGGGAGGGATGGGAAGGGGGGATGGGGGCAGGAAAGATGGTGGAATGAGATCTACATCATTACTCTAGTAATAAAACATATAGTGCAATGCTACATCCTGTACAACCAGAGAAATGAAAAGTTGTGCTGTAATTGTGTACAATGAATCATAGTGCATTCTGCTGTCATATATACCTAATTAAAATAAATACATTAATAAAAAGTGCCTGCAACTACGAGCAATAGTTCACCTGCCATTATCATTCTTTGCCCCTCTTTCTTTCTTTTCCCCAAATAATGCTGTAGCTAGATTTCAGTGAGTTGGGATCATTCTAGCATATCCCACAGAAATCACTACTCTGTTGGTTATCCCCAAGACTACCCTCACATTCAGATATTTGCTAAAAGGTCTTACAGCCCTTCATGTGAAGTTGTACTCGTACTTAAGATTTATTACAGAGATATAGTAAGAATATATTGCTGGATCATGTGGGGGAAAGAACAGCAGAATTTGGAAGAAGTCACATGCAGGCCTCCAGTACTCTCTCTTCTATGGGGGTTTACACAAAGTGCATTCTTTCCTCAGTGATGAGAATTCAGTAACAAGTGTGTGATAATTCTGCCCTGGGAAACTTCTGATATTCAGAGTTAAGTTTTTTTTTTTTTAATCAAGGCTGGTTACATAAGCATTCTCTACCTAGCATGTATCAAAATTCCAAGCACATAGGAAGAAAGCAGGTGCTCAGTGTGCCACCTTGTTTGCACAGACTAGGCACAGTGAATTAAGGAAGGAGGAGAGAACTCCTGAATTAGAAACTCCCAGATGTCATCCAAAATCCAACTCTGCAAAAAGTCTATTCTAAAGGCAGCAATCTTAGACCTGCTGTGTTGCATTACCTTCATTCATAATAAAAGGAAAGGCTGAATTTCAATTAAAGTCTAATGAAAATATAAAACTATTTTTTTCTCATTCAAGTTCATTATACCCCCGATTTCTATCCAATGATTTCTCAAAGAGAAGGAAAGCCTGTTGATTATTGATTTAGGACTTCTGAAAATTAATAGCTAATCTTTTTCCCTGATCTGACACTCACCAGGGACTTCTAATCCCACTCCCCCACCACATATACTTTGCACTTCTATTCCTACTTCTGTTTCTTATTGCCTATTATTATATTATTTTCATATACTCCCAGGGTTGGGAGATATCAAGGAGGCCAATGT